AAACACCCCCCCCCCCCCACGCAAGAGCAAGCAAGCGCACGCACGCACTTGCAGACGGGGTGCCCGTGGGTGGACTGGATAGCTAGAGTTGGTAAGTATATGTCCCGGTGAAGACTACTCCTTATTCTTCGGGAAGCCGGTTAGAATTGTCGACGAAAAAATACAAATAAATGCTCAATATATACACACTGACGTACATTTTTCAATTGGACAGCCGGTCAGCGTGGTCGATATAAACATGAAGGGGGCTTCACACACACAGACATCCGCTCAAAAGTTACGTGGTGCCAACACGAAAAACGCACCTGCTTTAGGCGGAGAGCTCGATCGCGGCGGTCTACGACGGCCCACTCCCGGTCGTACGCCAGCCCCGAAGGGCCCAGAGGCCACCTACCCCGCCCCGCCGCCGCCCCTCCCCCGTCGCCGTCCCGCCGCCCGGAGCCGCCGCTGCCACCACCTACACCCCAGCTGCGGCTACGGCTGCCACCGCTGTCTCTGCCAGGTTCAGGTGAAGCCGGCGCCCCCGCAGGAAAAGGAGAGCGTTGGCGCAACAACAGCGTTGGCGGGGGCGCTCCCGCGCGCTGCGGCGCGCAAGACTTGATCGGGTAGACGTAGATGGCTTCAAGGTAACGACGGGGTCGGGTTGGTCGGTCTGTGGCCTCCGGCAGCGGGTCGTCCTGCGCGCGGTGCGACGGTGAGAGCTCGCCGGATGGAGGCTTTTGAGGCGAGCGGAGGGGTCCTGACTGCGAGATTAGAAACCGAGATTTCCAGCGCCGGTTTGGGGAGGGGGGGGGATCATGTCAACGCATGCCGCTCGACCGTTGACCTCGCACCTCTACGACACCCGTGGTGAGCCAGAGTTACGCCGGCCCAGGCTAGGTTTCATAAGGGGGGAGGTTACAGTGTCGTTCTGTGGAGGGCAGCGTCGCAAGGTGGGAGCGGCGGGGACAGGATGAGGTGCGGCTAGCTCGCAAAAAAAAAGGACGATACAGAAACCAACAAACGACACCATATCAGTGGCAGCACCCTTTTCAACAGCGAACCTGCAGCGGTGTCGTGGAGACAAAGTGTTTCCTAACGAAAGTCACGAAGGCGGTGGCGTCCTCCCAGGTGGACATCCACCCAAGCGACACTCGAACCAGGCCGGTAGGCCGACCGTCGATAAGGTCGTGCTCGTCCCAGCAGACGTGGCCTCTTTGTTGTGGCGGCGGAAAAAAACAAAGACGAGAAGAGCAAGAAATGTGAGCACCACCTAGCGGCTACAACGAGAGGGAGGGAAGGAGGGAGGGTGAGAGAGAGAGGGGGGGGGGGGGGGG